TTCAGTGTATGCTGTTCCTGCCTGCATCTTACACCCTGCCACTATGTGCTGGACTGTCTCTGAGGCCTCTCTGCACAGTCTATCGGCTGATCTACACAGTGTAGCCACTGGATAGCATAGTGGTTAGAGTGCCGCCCTTTGACGCGGGAGACCGGGGTTCGAATCCCAGCTGGTACCTACCTTACCAGTAGGGGTCGTTGACCCCCTAACGCTTCACCTGTCTACCTCAGATATGAGAGTGACACAAACTAGGAGACTCATGCCAGTTTGGACATCACCCAGATTAACCAGATCTGCACCAGACGCTGGGAAACCGGGACAATCTGATGATAAGTGGGCTACTGGAACAAACCATACATGGATGAGACAAGAGAACCTGGGACACAGTTGACTGATGGACAGACGGACAGACAGATGGACGGACAGACGGATAGATATATCTTATCTTCCATGAATTTGCTTAATCCCTTTTAAAGGTGTCTAAATTGATGGCCATTGCTGCATCTTGTAGCAGTGAGTTCCATAGATTAATTGTACACCATTCTGAATCTCCTGCCATTCAGATTCAATGGGGGACTCTGGATTATATTATTAAAAGGGAGGGAGAAAAACTTACTCTGATTGTCCTTCCCATTTATAATTTTGTAAACATCTCTTTTCTGAACTAACTACCCCCAGATATATGTATCTAACTGCACATACTCACACTTCTGCATTTGTAGACATGATGTACAAAATAAAAACTTGCTTCCCTCTCTTTTCCTACTGCCTGATTAAGTCAGATTGCACATTTTTCTTGAAAATCACAATTTATTTTAAAATGAGTCTTGGCTCCTCTTCTCCTAGGCATCAGCAAATCTGCCTGATATTCTGGAGCAGTTTAGCGTTGGGTAATGAATAATCATTAACTGGCCCTGAGTCACGAGTTTGCTTTCTGCTTTTAGGGCTCAACCTACGCACATCTGTCTACTATATGACAAGGACAGCTGGAGACATTTAATTAGACCTATAATTATAGGGCATGCGACAGCATTACTGCTTTCAAAAAGGGGTATCAAGGTGGGGCATATTTGTTCATGGTTCTTAATCAAGGTGCTGGGCCGCAAATTTTACCTGCTTTGAGAAAAGGGGTAGAATCTGAGTGGTTTTTAAGTGGGAAGAAAAAGCAATCTTGACTTGGGGTGCTCAGAAAGCAGAAAATAGGAACTCTGTGTGACTATGTGACTGGATTTACACATTGTGCTAACTCTGTGTTTCTTTTAATCATGGGTTCTTGGACAAGCCATAGTGGCCAGGTTCACACAAAAGCTAAGCCATAAAACAGGATTTCGCAAGCCATACTAGCTGGGTTCACACATCATACTAAACTGAAACCAGACAGGGCACATTGTGTCTTGGAAGTTGCATAAGCTTGGCTTGTGTTAATGTGTGCATATTTTTCTTCTTCCGTCCCCTCCCTTTTAATTTACATTCGTAACCCCCGTTTTCAGTACTGCAGAGAAATCTGACGTCCTTTGTAACATTCTACACGATGGCCCCAAACCTCATGAGATCTCTCAACTACCATGACATCTTGAATTATAGAGATAAGCTAGGGGCACCACTAAATGCCTCTGAAACACAATGGTGCCTGCAACCGCCACGTTGAATGTTCTAGTGCCTAGAGATGTGCCATAGCTTTTATTGCTAATCAACTCCTCCGTCCAACTTCCTAGACCATTATGGGGGGATGAAACCAAGATACAATGCGCAGAGGTTTTAATAGCTGTGCAAAATCACATTAACAATGAAAATACTGATTTGGGTTTTTTTTGTTCTGACTTCTTCTTACAGTATTTCTGGCTGTTTGTCCTCTCCCGAGGTTTGGTTGGCATCGGTGAAGCTAGTTACTCCACCATCGCTCCTACTATCATTGGAGATCTCTTCACCAAAAACACTCGGACACTTATGCTGTCGGTCTTTTACTTCGCAATCCCTCTGGGCAGGTATTTGCTTGTTTGTACATGTCCTTGCTAGATTTCATTTCTTGTCTGGGCTAATTCATTTCTTTTTCAAGATGTGAACCCTTCGTCTTCATCACACACTGCCCAGGTTCTTTAGACTCCTTTAGGTTAGCCCTGTTTGTCTGTGGCAGGAAAATTGAGGGAGGTTCCTGGCATTGCCTTAAGATTCAGAAAATGCAGTTAACCAGAAGCAGAGGATATTATATCTTTGGAAACGCTATTGACAGCTAGCTGGCTGGCTGAATATACTAACAGGGGATTCCATACAGAACGATTTTGCTATAGATTTTATTTGTGAGGTTAGCCATCCCTGAAAATTTTGTGTCTGGAGCCATTTTATGGTGCAGTGAAGCCCTAAATTGGTATGTTAATGCCAAACTAATTTGATATAATGAGACAGCAGGTAGCTTAGCCACTACTGTATTACAAAAGATGTGTAACCCAGAACACATGATATTTCTGTAAGTTTCCATGGGATATTCTTCTTCCCCACTGCCTTTTTTTTTTTTTTAATTATCTGGGTTTTTTAACTTTGAGTTTTTGTTATTTTTTGCTACTCTTCCATTTTTTTTATTATATTGTTGCATAAAGTTTCTTTTGTTGGTTTGCTGTTGGCTACCTTGAGCTCTCGGAAAGAAAGTATGAATGCACATATTTTACCTATATAGGTAGAAGATTCTACGATGTTAATGATATCTACTTTTTAGCAGATTTTTATATCCATTTTTTTCTATGCATAATGGATTTATGTCACTTCATTACTTGATAATGTACAAAGACCTAGGTCTTTGCAAATTGCATCCAAACTATGATAATGACTGTAGGGGAGCTACAGTTCAAATATTTGGAGGGGACAAGGTTGTTTCCGTAATGCTCAGCCATTCCTGCTGCTGGATTGGGATATAAGAACTTTATTTTGTCCAAATGAGTTAGTTTGCACAACAAAAGTGCTAGGCTGAACGGGATTGGTTGTCTGAAGGCTGTATGAATACAGGGCTGTTTTGATTTGTTAACCCAGATATAGAGGTTAAGCAATGCCATGTTAATTCAGCCCTAGTATTATATGACATTACCTCCTGTTATTTTTTTTTTCTAGATGTAGTTTACAATTTGTACTGTGTTAAATTGGAAGTCTGCCCATATTTTTTAGAGTTTCTCAACCTCACCAACTATAAGGTGTCTGGACTTCAACTCCCAGAATTCTTCAGCCAGCATGTTGGCTGGGGAATTCTGGGAATTGAAGTCCACACATCTTAAAGTTGTTGAGGTTGAGAAACACTGCTATATGTTCTTCAGCCAGCATGTTGGCTGGGGAATTCTGGGAATTGAAGTCCACACATCTTAAAGTTGTTGAGGTTGAGAAACACTGCTATATGTTCTTCAGCCAGCATGTTGGCTGGGGAATTCTGGGAATTGAAGTCCACACATCTTAAAGTTGTTGAGGTTGAGAAACACTGCTATATGGTAATTGTAGCTTTCTTACAGCCTACTTTTATGCAGTTTTGGATATGTATTTGGTATTATTCATTGCAGTGAAGTGACAAAGGCGTGAATAGGACCCACAGGATCCTCATGGGGAAGCAAGTGTTGTGATCTGAGTTTGGTGCGAAATTCTCCTCTCTGCCAGGCTCCATGTCTGCCTGAATGGGGAAACCTTTATGCTGCCCTACGGACAACTGTCCTTTGTAATGTTGACAGATGGGGAAAATGAAGGGCCAGGTATGACCCCTTGCATGGGACCATAGAGGGGGTCTGAGCTCAAATGAAGATCTGACCACCCTAATTAAAAAAAATCAGCTGGCTGCCTCCGCTACATGTTTTTCCATTTAGGCTTCCTTATCAGCAGGGCACATTCTTCTCACTTCTGGACAGGAGGAAATCTCCATCTTCACAATGCCTGACCCCAAGTTTGGCAAGGTTGGAGACAGGGTGGGCACGTGAGGCTCGCCACCAAATTCCAAACAGTAAGGCTGTTTCCTGTGGAGAAGCTCAGCCCTGTGTGTTTATTTCCATTAGGGAAAACCTTTCCCGTAATCAGCCGGTGACAAAATGTCTGCAGGAGGATGTATTTCTGCTTTTGCCTAGCATCCAGCTTGGAGACAAAGGCTTGAAAGCATTCAGTTTGCTCTTCAGGAATGGGTATATCTCTCTGCCTATCTCCTCCAGAAGACAGCATTGTTTTGTTTTCCTGAAGATTTCAAGGAAGCTTGACTGAGTTTTGGCTACTAACACTGGTTTCCCATCATATTTTAAAATAGCTGCCATTCCCGTTCCTGCAGTCTTGTACAGAGGCCTGCAGATTCAGAAGCCTGGAAAACATATTTTGCCTTTATGAGGTGGGCTGGCTGCAGAACCATGGAAAGCTGAGTTATTTCCCTAGAAATCTGGATTTCTCAGTAGACAGGGGTCTTTTTCCCCCTTTCAATCCACTCTTTTGCTGATCACAAGACACTTGCCTCCAAGGCATTCCTGTGGGAACCATGCAAGGTTTTACATATAAGATAAACATATAATTAATTAAATGAATTACATACTTAAATGTAAAATATAAGCTGGAAACTTACACTGTAAAAATATGTTGCCATATGTCCCGAGGAGTGCAGAGAAGAGTGAAAAGATGGTGAGGGGCTTGGAGGTTAAATTCTATGAAGAACAATGAAAAGAACTGGGTATGTTTAAGCTAGAGAAGAGAAGGCTAAGGGGAGACGTGATCATAGTTTTTCAATACTTGAAGGGCTGTTACGGGGAAGCAGGGTGGATTTATTCTCCATAGTACCTGAGCGGAGTGCAAGAACTAATGAGTGGAAGCTATACAGAAAGAGACTCAAAATAAAAAGTAATTTTATTTTGAAAGCTATTAAAGAGCGGGACAACCTGTCTCCTGCAGTTGTGGGTGTTCCATCACTGAAGGTTTTCAAACAAAGGTTGGACAACCATTGTTATGGGTTTTTTCCAAAGTCTCTTCCAACCCTACGAATCTTTAATTCTATGAATATAAGAAGAGCTCAGTAGATTAGACCAAAGTCCAAACAGAAGCAGACCAAACAGAGATCATCTAATTTCTGCTTGGAAATCCAGAAGCAAAGCATTAAGATAACACCTGTTCCTTACTACAGATATCAGCAGGCTTCTCAAGTATGTGCACCATAAAATAAAATCAACATGTTTTAAAAAAGGCCCAAAATCTCAGAGTGCTTAGCAGATGGTCTGAACTGAATAATTCCATAAGGATACCAAAAATGTCATCAGATTCCAGCCATTTTAAAAAATTACTTTTAATGTTTCAAAATTTAATTTGGGGATTGCATATACCATATATATGTGTTGTGAAAACCTTTGCACCTGAAACTATCCCATTAGCCTTGTCCTGCAGCAACTAATGCTTGGATATACATTCCCCTATAGCTGGGAGTTCTGACCAAACAAAATCTGTTTTTGTTCTGTTTTGTTTTTTGAGGCCATCTTTATGTTTTCAGCAGTTGGCAGCCAGGTTCCCAAGAATTCTGCGAACAAGGCATGAAGTCAATGTTATTCAAATTTCTAATATTTGTATTTGTATGAGAACTCCCTTTAAAAAACCGTCGATACAATGGCATGTGAAAATCCACCCCTTCTTTCCTTATTATGTACAGTAATTAAAACACTAACTGCTATTTGCACTACTTAAAAAGAAGCTCGAGGTTTGGATGTTTAGGCTGGCAAAACCTGAACCTTAACCAGTGTAAGGATTTAAATAAAATCTGTGGTGAAAAAAACTCATCTAGTGGTCATTTGGATTTTTGCAGCACTGCCAGAGTTCATCAGCATCTTCTGAACGTGTACCAAAATACGTTCAACTGTCATGGGATTTCGCCTTCTTTAGATTTTTTCCATAAATATCTTTTTTTTCTAGGTTTCACCTTTTTTATGTGTGGAAAGTGCTATTTTGGGTACCTAAGTATTGGCACCCCCACCTGAACATTGGAAATAGATGTGGAAACTAGAAGAAGAACAAATGTAGAAAAATGAAAGGTTGAAAGGGTAGAAATATTCCCGGCCCACTAGAACGGATGGTTCTTTTAAATTCTTTGACTTTTTTTTTAGATTTTTTTTTAGATTTTTTTATCCTGCCTTTATTATTTTTATAAATAACTCAAGGCAGTAAACATACCTAATACTCCTTCCTCCTCCTATTTTCCCCACAACAACTCTGTGAGGTGAGTTGGGCTGAGAGAGGGTGATTGGCCCAAAGTCACCCAGCCAGGTTTTCATGCCTAAGGTGGGACTAGAACTCACCATCTCCTGCTTTCTAGCCTGCTGCCTTCACCACTAGACAACTGATTCTGTGGCCAGGTTTACATATTAATAAGGCAAATATTTCAGCATAGCATGTTGTCTGAACCCAGCTATTGTAGTACGGGATCCATAATTTACAGTATGGGTAAACAACATAAGGATTCAATCTGCCCCCAGATACTTCCCTTTGTGTCCACCATATTTCTTGTCCTAAGATATTACAGGACATTCAGGAGAGCTAATTTATCTTCTGGCTAATGGGTACCTTGTGGCTGGTCATGCCCACCATGGGAGCCGTTTTGTGAACTGGCACATATTCCATGTTATGAGAATGCCCACAATGTATTTTCAAAATGTTGTATATACCTTGCTCAAAAAGATTGTTTAGCCCTGAATTACAGCTTAGCATGTCATGTTTATGAAGCTTATTCTGGTTCATTCAATAAACTGTACTTAATAAAAAAGTTTTAAAGCCTAGATATCATAGTCCTCTCCTACATGTACTAAGAAAGACAAAAGACTGGATAGCTACTGCTTACCTGCATTACAGTGTTTTGTATCAACTTAGCTAGCCAGACTTCCCAAAATGAATCCTGGGAGTTACAGTAGAGTACAGAGAAGATGCCGAAAGGTTTCGTTATAGATCTGTAGGAAAGGTCCACTAAAGCCCTCTTAGTGTTTCAATCCACTGGAGTCTTCATACAAAAGAAAAGTGTATTAAAATTGAAAAACTGCCTTTATGAACCAAACATAACATATTTTTAATGAGGTCACTAGGATTCAGGCTTCTGCCTATGATGCAGTGTTGGGCTTGTGTGGATTTTTGTGATTCCAAAAATGCAATGTGTGTGTGTATGTGTGTATAACTTGGGAGAGTGTGGAAATCTCTTACATTAGAAAAAAGAGGGTTGAGTAATATTATTATTGGGTTGGCTACACTTAAAATGTTTCATGAGTAATAATAGGAGCATCAAGGTAGCATCAAAATTAAGTGTTTTCTGCATCTCTTTACAGCTATCTAATGGTCACCCAAGATCTGGGTAGTCCCTAGAGTAATGTCTTACAAGGACATGTTTGTTTCTTGATTTGTTAACTGTGGTAAAACGAATACATCTGGAACCACTGGGAAATCAGGTTGGCTCAAAACCTGATTAAATACAAGAAGTCATGTTTTGTTTTCTCCTATTTGATTTTATCTTAATTTTTTAAAATTTCTTTTTGTTTTCTAGTGGCTTAGGATATATCACTGGATCAAGTGTCAAGCAAGTAGCTGGGGATTGGCACTGGGCCTTGCGGGTGAGTAGTGAGTAGGCCTATCCTATCTGCATTGCAGAAATCTAAATCACCACAGGATGGCAGCAAAGAGAGACAGGACATTCCAACTCTTGGCTGTTGTCTAGTGATTGTCCAATTTCTGTAGCCTGGGTATTGTAGCTCTAGTAAAGAGCTCCTGTTTAGATTTAACACATTTGTGTAGAAAACTTGAATAAATATCCATACCTCTTTCTCCTTGATTAAAGCGTAATTTATAATTCAGCGGAATTAGATTGCAACACAATGGTATGATGTATACTTGATGTACCTGATATCTGATGTATTAAGCCCTGTTGTGGTTTGTTTGGCTTTAACTTAACATGTTCTGCAAACCCAGCCATTGCAATTTGTAAATTGTAGTGTTTGGCTTAGCACATTGTGCGAATACAGCAAATTGCAGCTTATTCATTCAGCCATAGGTAAAAAACCCATGGCTTACAATGTGGAGTGCTGCTTGTGGAGAGAAGATTTGATGGAAATGGAATCTTACTCTCTTGCTTTATATTATTTTGGACATATATTTTGCAGTTGGGCGTGGCTGATAATAGAGGTTAATTGTGCTACAATTAGATGTGGGTTAGGAAATATAAGTTAGTTAATTTGTGAGTTTTGCTTACTGCCTGTTTTCTTCCATACATATTTATTAGTCCTTCAAAAAATCCCAGAAGTTTTGCATGATACAAATGTAGGATCTGGACAACTTTCCTGTGACCAGAGGCTGCCCTTTTAATTGTTCTCTGTGGGTAGCCAGGCTTATATTATAATGCCACCAGTGCAGGTGAGGCCAACATCTGAGCCCACCATTTTTCTTTCTGAGATGCACGATGGGGCTGAAGTAGATGGGAACTCTGTAGCCCCCAAATGACTCCTTTGGGCTCAGTTAATGTGGCTGTGGATTGTCTATAATCAGATCCACAAGTGAAGAGACTGGAGTGGGTTATTAGCTGGCTGAGTTAAAGGTTGTGCCCACTGGGCCACTATGTTCCAGAGGTATATTCAGAGGTATTTGCAGAGGTCTATGTGGGGGGATGATAAGAGCCAAAGATCAGAAGTGGCAGAAACAGGACAATGACAATTTCCTGACTTTCTGCATTCTGCTAATCAAGATGTTGTTCCTAGCGATCCATTCCTGCTCTGCTCCAGTTTCCTTCTCTCCAACCAGGATCCCCAAGATCCCTGAGCTTGTTCAGCTCTCTTTGAGTTCTTCAGCATTTCTTTCCTTCAGGGTTTTTTCCATCCCCCCAATTTTGGCAAACCTCAAGATTCCTCTAAGCTTGCCAATCATCTCCCTTTTCTTTATGGGTATTATTCTGGCTGCATAAATGTGGGCACTCATAAACTGAACCTCAGAAGTAGAAAGAATTACAGTGAAGTGCTAGTACCCTATAATGGCAGTCATGACTGTACCATTATTAAATAGTCCTTCTACAAAGATCTGGTTTAATTTAAATGCAATCCCTGCCCATCCACCTCCCCGCACCCAAAGAAATGTCAGAGAGAAGGACTCCATTTTATCCAGTTATGTATTAAACTTGGCCTAAAATTGAAACAGCCAAGTTGAAACCCTGTATGGTGTATTTTTTGCCATTTCACACTGACATCTCCGCCTCTCCTCTCTTCTATCTCCTCCCCTCTTTGTTGGAACGCATACAAAATCTGTTATATAATTTAAGACACTTCTGATTTATGCCAGTTTATTGTTGGGGTAGCAAAAGAAAGGTGGCCTCAGTCCACTGTTCTTAATTTTCCTTATTATTAAGCATCAAGGAATTTTTTTCTGGTTGGGGGCGCAGGAGAGAGGGGAACACTTTGTCTCACTTTGCATTTCTTTTCCTGCACCGAGCCGTTCTTATTTCCTTCTGTTTTATCCCCTCGGGGACCTTGATAAATGTGCTGGGAAGACTAGCACACAATGCACGCAGCAGACACAAAAAATGGCTTGGATGGAAAAATAGCCAAGAGGAAATAAGACGGCAAAACTGCTTCCTGCCCTTTGACCCTGCTTGGATTCTGGCCATCAGAGAGGTGATCTCTGTTTTCTTGTCACTGGCAATTTGTGGAGGCGGAATCTCAGAGATAGTGCCATTTGGAGGCGTTGATCCCTGGTTTGGAATAAGCATCACTATGCAGGTTAATTAGATCTGTTTTGTAGATGATACAGTATTTACATGGCATTTTCAAGTGCTGAGAGGACATTGCTTGCATGATTGAGGTGGGTGTTGGGTTTTTTTACATCAGCATTATAAATTGTGCCAGCATAATTATCTTTCATATGGTTCACGTTGTAGATTATGAGTGGGAGGGAAGGGGAGGAACACTTAAGGTTGCAAGTGAATTCATGAAAGAAGTAAGATCCAAACTATTGATATCCTGATTTTTCTTTTTAGCAAAGAATGGAATGAGTTTCTCCCAGATATTTTATGTTGTTCGTTATCATACATATAGTGCATTCATTCATTATTTCCTAACAAATTGAACAGCCTTACAGGTAGTCCTTATTTAGTGACTGTCTCGTTTAGCGACCATTCGCAGTTACAGTGGTGATGAAAAAGTAACTTTGCAAACAATCCTCGCATTTACAACCTTCGCAGATCTTTAAAGCAAAGGAAAGCTGAAGTAAGATCGTAAGCATAGTCGCAGTTTTACTTGGCGATCGCTTCGCTTACTGACCAAGTTGCCAGTCTCAGTTGTGGTCACTAAATAAGGACTACCTGCATGCTGCTGGCTTTGCTGTTGGGATATACTGGGTCAATACAGTTCCCTAATTTTGGGTGGTGGTGGGGGACCTCCTTGGGAACCTGACTATGCTTTATGGATCTCTTATGAGCTTGGAAAAATGCAATTGAAGGGGGACTTGATGGAGTTGTATATGACATGGAGAAAGTGGACAGGGAGATTTTTTTCCAAACTTCTCATTCAATACACCGAGACAAGCTGACTGGAAGATTCAGGGTTATTTCCAGGCTAGGAATAAAATGCCTTAAATATCATTTGCAGGAGAGGGGTATGTCTTCATCTCATGCTAGTGATCACCCCGAACCATCTCGTTGGCTACTCAGAGACAGAAGTCTGGACTGAGATGGTGTTTAGTTTGATCCAGTGGAGCTGTTCTTATGAAAGCCCCCCACCCTCCAGAACAGCTATACTCACTGACATATCCTGTTTTACTTTAGGCTGGGCCCCAGGAGTAACCACAAATATACCTGCTCGACATCCGCAAATTAAATTCAGTCAAGCAAAAATATTTTGCTGGACTGCCTCACTCAGTGTTGTCCAAACTTGGCCACTTTAAGATGAGTGGACTTCAACTCCCAGAATT